TATTTGGTGCCTCCTTGTACCAATATCTATGTGTTAAAATAATAATAATAATTCATTTGAAGAACTATGAAATATCTGACTTAAACTGAAATTTTTACTCTATTTTAAGTGATACACTCTAGTTGTACGTCTCAATGAACCTGATCAATGTTCCACTCAAGTATAAATTATAGTTATTCTGAGTAGCTAATTAGTAGAATAATGGATGGAAATATTTCAATTTAACTCAAAGACGGACAAATAATTACGGTCATTACCGACCGATCTTTGGGTATTCAACTGTTAATAAAAATGCGTGACTACTGACTCCATAATAAGTAGTTCGTCAAGCAATTAATTTATTTTAGACATCGAAATAAGATATGCCTAAGAAAGATTTGAAGAATATTTATGCATGAATACTCGTCGAAATAGCGTAAATAAAAATGCTAAAAATAGTACAAACCTAACGACATAAATGTTCATAGAAAAGCCTATATATCCATATAACATTATTGATAATTAAACCGTAGTTATTGAGCTCTTGGTATAAATCTACAACAGAGAAACTTAATTGCGATTCATCAGGAAGATAATTGGAAAGGAAGAAGCTTCTTAAATTGATACTGCATGATGGTCCTATAATACCTTCGATTTAGTCACCAACCCACACTTACATAGATGGACATCATCCCGGTACGTAGAACAAACATATTTCAACCATCATAAGTCACATTGACACCCAAATGGAAATGCCATATAATATGTTCTAATTCACCAGAACAAACGCATATTTCACCTCCATTTAATTATAGTGTTAGTTGGTAAGTATTGAGAGTTCATACTTGGATAAATAGATACAACCATAAATAATTATTCTTCTATCTTCTTCTCTTCCTACTTCACACTCGGCTAAAGTAGTAAGATTACCAAACAAATTTTCCAGATTAGTAGGAACTCACCATCTATAGGTATTGATGCTTACATCAGAACAGCACATTGAATGCATAAATCCAAAAAAGGTTCTATCTATCTATCTGTCTGACTGTCAATTTTTACTATTTCCATGAAACGAGAACAGTGTAACGTCGTTAGTGTTCCTAACATCTACCAGGTTATTCTCAACCACTTGGTGTAAAATGCACATACATAAGTTGTTTCATGTGCATGGTCCTATTTCTAGTTTAGAAGTTCTTGTTTACTCGTAAGAGTTTTATGAAAACTGTACATTCTGTACTCGATTTATTTTAATCTGTTGTAGACTATTGTAAGGAGTAAATGTGTTTATCACTAGTTATTTCGTGCAAATAATATTGTCCATGATGTGATTTCATTCTTGTGCAAATCGATCATCAGCTGCATGTTTATAGATTCCGATATACATCGACGTTCCATAGTGATGCAAGCCTAGGTGTCGTGTAGATTATCAGTGTTGATTCATCGGAAAGAGTCTCTCTTACAGTGAATAGCGTCTGAATGTACGTGGTTTTATTGCTGGTGCTCTCGTATGTAACCAACAATCTGAAAGATTCGCAAACTTAGAGGATTGAGTGTGAATCCTTCAGTCCTGCATATTTCCCATTGTACAAACAATGCACAAATATGTAATTCGAAACTAAAGTCAATAGTGATTTCCATGTTTCTAACATTATCATACTTTTCCACTTCTAACTGTTTTGTGAGTGATTAGAACCAATATATGTTTCAAGACAACAGCTCGAACAAATGTCCATACAGTTTCAAGCAAGAATTTGATAGGATATTTATAGAATATACAAGATTATCTAACTAAAAAATTGCCTGATCCGTTTGTGAATTTTACCATCGTTGATTGCTTGAAAGAGGCGCGGTGAAAATGTACTGATCATTAGAAATGTAGACTCAGTTCGTTGGAAATCGATTCTACTTACTCTCCTAATTTGACCAGTCCCAGGTAAGATAAATCGCGCGTCTTGGATTCCACTGTTAGCCGCTATCCACCCTTGCTTATAATGCTTGTGAATTAACGCAATATCGAGGCATTCCGCACAGTATACACATATGCCAATAAGAGGCAGGGCCAGTAGGATGTCTCAAACGGAACAGATGTATGCTTATGTCAGAGCCTATGCAACAATATCATTAAAAGTCAATGCTGTCTCAGTTAATAAACACAGGAATGAAAAGCTAGATAAAATCTCATCATTACGTACAGTAACAGCGAACCTATAGGATTTTTTCATTTCGTTCTACTAAATAAAACGAAAATAAAATACAACGGATTGATTTAATCAAGCGTGTTACGTTAAATGTTCAGCCATTCCTCTGGCCATGCATTCAATATTCGTTGGTTCAGCATAATTATCACTTTCACCCTGATTGCGATAAACAATTTTTAGTATTTTCTTAATGGGTGCTCCACTTGCTTTATTATCGCCGGTTTTAGTCTCATTTTACACGTGACTCGCATAATTTACCGGTGAATTAATCGTTCTCACATTCCTATACCCTATAAACAAATGTCTATTGTCGCCTGGTCTACCTCCCCATTAAGACGCATGTATTCTAACTCTATGATTCACAATGGTTCAAGTGTGACTTTGCAGTTAACCGTTATCTCCTACATTTGAGTATTATGGATGAATCCATTATTATCCTGGGAGATGGATACGTGAGAACACCTCGCGTTGTGTAGTGAAAACATCGCTCGGATTCAGCCGCGTCAGTAAAGCCTTCAAGAAACAATATTGTGAAATTGCTCAACTTACAAAGTAGTTAACGCTAGGTAAATTAATAACGGTGACTATTGAAAATATTATTCCGTTTTATATCACTCTTCAAAAAATGACCAATAAGTAACTACTTGTAGTAAAGTCCAATTGGAATTTTTCAAAAATAATTTCTTGTATACATTACTATATATATATATATATATATATATATATATATATATATATATATATATGTTTTTGCACATATGATTGAATTTATTTGACCTCCTGTCTGGTTATGTGGATCAGTAATGGTTTGACCATAATTCTATTATTGTTATGTATCTAGCTTAAATTGTATTAATCGGTGTGATTATTATCAGAAGGGGGTTTTGTGGAGATTTTAGTAATTTCAATTATTAAGATCATGCGTCGATTAAGCTAGACCATCATGGAAAATCTGGAAGCACTGGACGGCCGTTTCGTCCTATTGCGGGACTCCTCAGTAGTGCGCATCCACGATCCCGCCTCGCCGGATTCGAACACAGTGTGATTATAATTTGCACCCGTTAATGTTAACAGAACAATCAACTCAACTGAGACAAAGAATAATCCAGGGTTTCCTGTTGACTACCTCCAACCACCATCTAAATCCCAATACATAGTGCCCGCACTGTCGAGTCACCTAGACTTGTGACACATTGCAACATGATCGATAGCATTCGATCTGCACTAATAAGGACTAGACAAGCATGACATTGATCACCATCCAGTGATCAATCAATTGTGATTACAAAGAATAATCGCTAGATTTGGAAAAAACGTCAACCGATACCAAATTAACAATTGATGTCTAGTTCCACACTTTTGGTGGTACGAAGACTTGAGGTAGTCTTATTTTGTGCTCACTTGAGCAATCAGCACAATTGATGTTTTGTTTAGTTAGCATTAGTTACGATTGTTGGCTGTCCGCTTTTAAATCTGCTTGCATTGTCAGATACAATATATTTATCTCTTTATTAAAAATAACTGCCTGTTCAATTTTTACGACCATCTCTAACATCTTAAAATGACACGGTATATAGAAGCCACTGAAATGAAATATATAAAAAACCTGATCAAACTGACTAAATTCGTGTTTCGAGATCAAGACACTTATGGAACTTCCATTTCTGCTATAGATGAACAGAAGCACTGCACACAAGGTTTCGCCATTGAATATTTCAAATAGTTATAAGCTACTGTTGTAGTGAGCGAGAACTCAGGTGGGAAAAACCAATGTAGAATTACACAGTACTTTTATAAACTATGAAAATCAAACATTAAGTACATTATATGCACATCTCCTATCAGTTGTCCTTTACATACTTCATGATTCTTCCGATTATGTTTTTATTCTAATTACTCTGTCTCCCTTCCTATCCTCTTCAATTCAATCTTCTGCTGGCAGTCATTCCACTTCCGACCGTTGATACATACTGTCAGCATAAGCAGCATACACTACACTCTGGCCCTTAACATATGTACATTTAATTCATCTGATAAACCACCAGCGATCGCACGACTATTCAGAACACAAACCTCTTGACCATTTAAAAAAATTTATAATCAGGAGGGCTGGCAGATAGTCTCTCCCCATCATTGTAGGGATATTTTTCATTTAATGGTTCAAAGTACATTCCAACTAATCTCACAATTCAAATCAGATATACCACTGTTCAGGCAGACAAACAGCATCAAATTTGTAAGCATAATATTCGAATATCAAGTAATTTCGTTAGACTTTAGGTAACTCTGACTTCTTCTTGTTGTCACGATTATTAACTGTGGTCAAATAAGCAAACTCAGTTGCAATATTACTACAAAACATTTCGCGCTGTGAACCATTATCAAATCCCTATTGTCATATAAGTCATATCACCTTGACATTTCTCACTGAATATAACCATTTATACCATAAAATGGAATATCGGACATACGATTCTGCCTGATGAGATTGTTTTATTCGTCAGAACAAAACAGAACAACAGTCAAACATCACCTTTTACGTCATAATAGGAAACCTGTTCTACTGATTAAAATTATGATATACCAATTATTCTTTCAAAAACAACGATTAAATGGCGCATAGAATACATAATATTATCATATTTCGATGTGATAGAAAATATTAGTTAAATAAGCGTTAGTAAAGTTTCTGATCAGTGATTGGAAAATCATTTATAAACAATAAAAGGATTAGATTTTTAAAAATATATGAAGGAGAAGGATTTCCAACTGAGCAAGGTAGGTTTTCAAGTTGAACTCAATAGTTTTCGAATTTCCATTCTTTCACATTGAAACGCATGAATATTCTCCCGTTTTTCTGGAAGAAAATAAAATAAAAAGAATGGGTTTATTTAGATGAGGTGTAGTGACAAAGTAGAGAAGTTATCAATTCAAATGATATTTTCGTACGTCAATCAATGTAAGTATAGGAAGTCGAAACTACTGCTCTGACAAACTCCAGAAATTGTAAATACACAAACACATAAAATATTCACAACACTTTTTTCCCACTAGATGTGAATTGGAAACAATCAACAAAATGCATTTTACAGTTTAACTGCAACTGAATTTTATTACCAAACACCTAGTCAGATTCCATAATAGTGGAACAGGCTAAATATACCACATACAGATGCTTATTACCCGAAAATATACTTTAGGCGCTTTACTTAGTCGACTATGCTTGCGGTTCAGATGGCAACCGACTCCGGAAGTTTTGAACTCTTGTGTATCTGTATCTCATAAATATTGATGGAGTTTCATGCACAAGCGGGCAAGTCCTCTCGAGAAACAACCAGAGATTATGATAGTTAGCTCCTCATCTAAAACATACTAACACTGTTTACAAATAAAACATTTCATTTTATTCTGGTCTCCTTTAGTCATAACGATTATATCTAGTGTGTAATTGTGTAATACAAAATTGTTCGTTTAATCTAGTACGATGCAACTTTGAGATTAGCTAACCTGGATAGAACACAGAATGAACTGATATTTCATATTCTTACTGGGATAACAATTTCACTTTCAAATATTTACTTAAATTTATGGAATTTCAACCAGAATTCAAAAGGAAACTAAACAAGCAACCAAAAATATCAACTAGTCAATATACGAACAACATACTTTGGTTTCTTAGGTTTTACAGTGATCGATCCACGACTAACATTGTGCTACAGTAACGAAGATAAACAATATGCGTGTATACAAATTCATGATTATATTCAAGTATGTATTACAAAATTAACTGGACATTTAATTACAAAGCCGAACTTCTTCCGAATGGGAGAGTGATGTTCCTAACTGGAATAAGTATACATATACGACTGAGCTAATAAAAGTATCAAAGTAAATGATGTGGTAAAAGGCTCCTTATTGCTTCAGTTAATAGTGTCACTCTAAGCATAGATGTAGACTAGTTTCAAAGTACTATTGCTTAAATATACACAGTTCGGTAATGTAATGTGAATTGTTTGCGATCTTTACACTAACAGACACTATAACTAATCTTACTGATCGACAGTCAAGTATTACCATTAGGTCAAACATTTTTCTCGAGTTACCACCTGACTAAAGGTGAAGGGTTCGTCAATACACCTGCAACTTTGAAGTTACGTTTCAACATGTATTTAAAAAGTCCCAGCGAGTACTACGCAAATGTAGCCTGGTCAATTTAATCACTGATTCACATGTTTTCATGATAGTCCTAGTAGTCAGTGACCTCCCAAATTTAGGTTACCCAATTAATCTAGGTGACTGCCTTCTGTTACATGAAACTGCTGCCATCTCGGTTACCAAAACATAACTACAGCAAAACGTTACTGCCGTCTACTTACCGAAATGAGAATTCAGAAAGGGTCAACTAGGTACTTTCATACAAAGCTTAGTCTATCTACTTCAGTGCTGCCCTCTCCACTACGAGCACCATTTATGAACATTTGACTGTGTGTGGGAGCTCAGATAGCTATTATCCAATGTTCAATCGACGAGAGATGGTCAGAGCCTAAACACTTTCAACAACGCATATTTCGCCTGTCTAATTTTGCAGTGTAAGCTAACCAGTCAGTTCATAAGTGATCAGTGGATAAAATCGAATTCAAATGCGTGATCCACTTCTTCAGAGATTATGCTAAGTTCACACATAATAAGAGGTTAGGTAGACCACATTGAGCGAATGAGGTCGAGTAAATAACCACACGTTGACCCTTTTGTTTTTCTCTACAAACAATGCATACGTATATTTCATGAAATTCAAGAGTTTCGACCAGTGAAATCTGCTGTTTGAAGGCGTGCACGGTAAACCAATATACAGTTCATTAGAATCACAGATGTTGGCACTGAATGTTCTAAATCTCTTATTAACACGAATATTTCATCAGCTAAACAATGACTTGATTTACAGGTAACACCCAACGAACAAATGGAAATGTTTAAGAATACAGGTAGTGAGTGGAAGGATTTTTGACTTAAAACTTTGCGATAAATGATCATCCAGTTTTTTCCTTTACCTTAGCAGGAGGGTCATAGGTCAAATGATAGTTCCTAACTTCACTCTTAGTATTGTTTGGGAAATCACCAGACTAAACAAAAGTAGAGATAAAAAAAACATGAGACAATAAAAATACAGTTCTACCATTCCAAATCTTTCAAACTCACAATTGTGGTGCATAATTCTTCAAATTTTTCCTCGTATGGATATTTCCCGGAGAAGTCAATATAACGACTCTCGCCTATCATGAAACCCAGCCAACCACTTGGAACAAACTTCGACTCAACACGAAGAAAAATAGTTGGTTTATTTAGTTTTCGAGTGTATTCAGCTTCTTTAAAATGAAGTGTGGTATAATATTAAAACAACACTGATAGTTTAAAGTGTGCTACGACTATTCGCTCATATCTGGTCAAAATATTATCCGATAAGTGGTCATAAATGCTTTCCAGTAGTATCTTCACGCTTCTGACAGATTTTATTCAGCTGACAACACTTTTCAGATACGAAGAAGGGAATTCCACTTCATAGTCTACGACTTGGGTGATGACGTCAATTTTTAACAAAGTCAGTTTCATGTAGAAATCAACAACCATTATTGGTTAATTCAACCCAATTTATCGACTGCCTCTAGTTTGATATTTCATGGATTGTTGACGCAGAAGCTGACAGACACCACCCACGGTACTGTAGCAGCATCAAATAAGGTGCAAAGCTACGGCTTAAAGGACTGTTCTGGAATGTCATTCGAAGTTTACTTGTAAACCATAGTGGACATTGATATGGCACACACAAAAGATAGAACTCTATATCCATTTTCAGAGCAACAGTTCGAAAGTGTGTCAACTAGTTTCAAGTAAACTGGCACAATAAATCCTGTGTTTCCTATCAAATTAAGAGAGTAAGTAGAATCGATTTCCAACGAACTGAGTCTACATTTCTAATGATCAGTACATTTTCACCGCGCCTCTTTCAAGCAATCAACGATGGTAAAATTCACAAACGGATCAGGCAATTTTTTAGTTAGATAATCTTGTATATTCTATAAATATCCTATCAAATTCTTGCTTGAAACTGTATGGACATTTGTTCGAGCTGTTGTCTTGAAACATATATTGGTTCTAATCACTCACAAAACAGTTAGAAGTGGAAAAGTATGATAATGTTAGAAACATGGAAATCACTATTGACTTTAGTTTCGAATTACATATTTGTGCATTGTTTGTACAATGGGAAATATGCAGGACTGAAGGATTCACACTCAATCCTCTAAGTTTGCGAATCTTTCAGATTGTTGGTTACATACGAGAGCACCAGCAATAAAACCACGTACATTCAGACGCTATTCACTGTAAGAGAGACTCTTTCCGATGAATCAACACTGATAATCTACACGACACCTAGGCTTGCATCACTATGGAACGTCGATGTATATCGGAATCTATAAACATGCAGCTGATGATCGATTTGCACAAGAATGAAATCACATCATGGACAATATTATTTGCACGAAATAACTAGTGATAAACACATTTACTCCTTACAATAGTCTACAACAGATTAAAATAAATCGAGTACAGAATGTACAGTTTTCATAAAACTCTTACGAGTAAACAAGAACTTCTAAACTAGAAATAGGACCATGCACATGAAACAACTTATGTATGTGCATTTTACACCAAGTGGTTGAGAATAACCTGGTAGATGTTAGGAACACTAACGACGTTACACTGTTCTCGTTTCATGGAAATAGTAAAAATTGACAGTCAGACAGATAGATAGATAGAACCTTTTTTGGATTTATGCATTCAATGTGCTGTTCTGATGTAAGCATCAATACCTATAGATGGTGAGTTCCTACTAATCTGGAAAATTTGTTTGGTAATCTTACTACTTTAGCCGAGTGTGAAGTAGGAAGAGAAGAAGATAGAAGAATAATTATTTATGGTTGTATCTATTTATCCAAGTATGAACTCTCAATACTTACCAACTAACACTATAATTAAATGGAGGTGAAATATGCGTTTGTTCTGGTGAATTAGAACATATTATATGGCATTTCCATTTGGGTGTCAATGTGACTTATGATGGTTGAAATATGTTTGTTCTACGTACCGGGATGATGTCCATCTATGTAAGTGTGGGTTGGTGACTAAATCGAAGGTATTATAGGACCATCATGCAGTATCAATTTAAGAAGCTTCTTCCTTTCCAATTATCTTCCTGATGAATCGCAATTAAGTTTCTCTGTTGTAGATTTATACCAAGAGCTCAATAACTACGGTGACTAAATAGAAAGTAGCATAGGATCATTTTTTAATGAATTTTAACAGTATAACTTCGATTTGAGCCGATTAAATCAATTCTCAATGCAATAAAACATTTAAATATAAATTGTTCATTGTTTAATAAGTTAGTTTTTCGTTTACGCGTTAAGATATCTTTAAAAATATGATTGATTTACGAGTGATGAATGGTTGTTAGCAATGAGATCCAGGACGCGTGTTTCGTCCTATTCGAAGCTCATCAGATGGATGTACGATGGTGCTTGAAGCGAACGGTGGTAAGTTCGAGTCGCAGAATGGACATCAACTCTGAGATGCCGGAACATGTGTTTGACGAGTCCCAAATAAGACGAAACGCGCGTCCTGGATTCCACTGCTAGTCACCATCCATCTTTGCTTATAATACTTATGACTTAAGTATCTAGGCAATCTGCACGGGATGCACATATGCCAATAAGAGACTGATCAATTGCAGTCCTAAACACCCATGGGATGATTCAAGCAAGCTATATCAAGTGATAGGCAACATGTTCAAATGTCAATGGGAATAAGAGTATTGAAAAGGAAATACTTTTATGTGATCCGTCTCAAATATAGTGAAACTTTACCCAAAGTGCATAAGCCAATTAGTGAAAAGAATACAAGCAGTGCTCAAGCAAAACAATATCAATACACTGATTCTTTTGAGTAGTCCATATAGCTATGAACATCGATTAAACAGAGAAAGGTCCAGGCACAAAGCTAGCTACGGAAAAAATGGCCTATGGAAATTCTTTATACAACAAAAAAATGAGTAAGTGAAATTTAATTATACAACAGTTGCAAACAATCAAGAAACTTTTAAAGAAGAATTTTAAAACTTACAGACTCAAAATAATTACATCATTTTATACAGATGAATCCGGAGACTAGTCAGTCTGAATGCGGAACGTAAGTCGTAAATAGTTATCAAAAAATAGTCAAAAGTCTCAGTTCAATTAAAAGGGTAAGTGACAAGGCGATATTAACCGATCTGCTCATATGTCCCAAGCTCCATGACCGAAACAGATACATTTGTACAGGTAATATATATAAACAATAAGTAATTTTTTAGAATATAGAAATCACTCATGTACATACCTGCTCTAGTATTTGCACTATGTTGGTATGATTTAGAAAAAAGTATTAATACAATTGCAGCATTTTGCACAGCGTTTGCCATTGCATCTAAAATCTTGACATCTTGAACCATGTGATCTTTGTCAATCCAAATCTGAGAAAATAGACCGAGATAAAGATTACTGATGAGAATACAAACGTATGTCATAAAACGTTGGAAGAAATTCATAGACAATGTATACATCACGTACTAAAAACTATATGCAACTATACGATAAATGCGATTAATCCGAAATTGTGGGTAAATTCCTTTCGAGAAATGTCTTAATTGGTATCAATACCAAGGTTGGACTTTATATTTTCAAATAGATTGAGTATTGGGTAGAAAGTTAATAGTAAATATATTTTTCGCCATATCCCAATGTTATTTGTTCAAGCACATAAGCATTGGTACAAAGGGTACCGAAAACATATGCACTACACAAGTCACTTGATTTGTGTATGAGCTGGGATACTGCCCGGGTGCCCAAACCGAAGCAGGTGCTTTTCCTACGAGGCCACATCCTGAGCCTTTGACCTAAAGGTCCAATCCACAAGGCAGTAGAGCAACGTAAGGAGATGCAGTCCCATGGTAATCGGTGACCAACAATAGGTTCATACACCGTTTTCCCCTTAGGATCCTGGAGCTCATGTACATCACTGGTTTGAAATCAGGGTTTCCCAACTCCCCTAGGTGGATCCTCCGTATCCACCAAACCGGCTAGAGCGCCGGACATTCACTTACCGTCCTCTTAATTTCGCAAAGAACAACCCCGCCGCGAGAAGGCAGTGAGTAGGACTTCTCTGGCAGTGGTTGTATGCATGTGGCAATGTGAGAGCAATTAGAAAGGGAGAGCCGACTCTCCCCACTCTCGGCCGTACCAGAGCATTTTGGAACAATATATCCCGTTGAGTAGGAAAATTATATTTGTGACGTTTCGTGACTTGATATGAGCCACTTTTTCAGAGTAAATAAATAATAAGTCAGAAATACAAGTTTTCTACTCATTGGGATATAATAAAAATATATTTATTATGTCTTAATTAGTGTTTATGATATAATAGCTGTTCAAAGAGGAAATCAACCAACTATCTGAATGTACACAAGTAAAAAGTGTTTTTCTGAATTATCATGAAAATTTGGTTATAGTGAGACGGTTGGCGCGTAAGAGGTGTCTGAAAATTATTCAAAACCCTAGATTAACTGAAATGAGCTTCGACATAAAAGCAAATGAGAATTACGTCTTATCAAGTATTGCCTATACGAAAATATGACGAATTATGCCAATATCCAGAAGCAAATAGTTCGAATAGTCGTCCCATTGTTACATGTTTGAATATTATCGTATTGACTTAATACCAAAACTAGGTGTAGCCTCACATTATTTAAAATTAGTGAGGAATGCACTTCAAAATATGCTATTTGTCAGTTGGTATACACCATGAATGTGTGAACATTGTGAAAGCCGTCAGGTCAAATACCGAAATCTAGAACGATAGTGTACGTAATTAAATTGTTACTTATCAAATCGATACAGCAAAGGTAGATTCAACGAGACAACAACGATACGAATACAATTGAAATGAATAACCGTGAAAATATCATGAGAAGAAAAAAAATCAATCACAAGGTAGAGTAAACAGTGAAATGGTCAGATGTTTAATCAGTCAGGTGTGACACAATCAAAACTAGGGATGGATACAGACTAGTTTTGAATTTACTTTAAATTATGGGAATGAAACAACCTAATACTTCTCATGTTCTAACTCATAAATTAAAACGGAATACCACACATAGAATAACAACTTTGAATGAAACACCTTATTTATTTAAAGCACACATAGATTATGTCTGAATTAATCGAAAGAAAGAACTTGTGGTGATTTCTTACTGAACCACATACTAAAGGACTACGTCAAACTAATAAACGTTTTTAGCTCGGACATCATTAGCTGAAATATAGTTTACGGCAAACTTTTATTGAGATTTATCACCTAAAGTGGTACTCACAATCGCTTTCCAAGTTTTCCATTTTTACTTGACGTCGTTATAGACATGTTCATAAATGTGACTTATCGCCTGACATTTTAGGAGCGGATTTCCCACTTGGAAACGCCTAATGACTTAGAGTATGCAGATGGTGTAGTCCTATTTGGTATATATATATACGCATAACAAATAAAATACCTTGATTTCTTCATTTTCCAAGCTTTCTTTAATTTTAAGTGCTATTTTGTCATCGTTATGACTGTAGCTTATCATAATATGACCATCCAGATGGTAGGGATTTCCTTCTTCTACCACGATAGATGGTTTATCTTCTATAAAATAATAATTCAAATACACATGGTTAGCAAATTCTATCCTGATAAAATTCCGCTGTAAAATTGTGACAACCGAATTAAGAAATTAAGATTTTTATTATCCACCCGGCAATTTTTGAAATTTTTTAAAATTCCCCCCCACCCTACTGAAAATTTTTTCCACCCACATTCATAATGTCTAGATAATTCAGGTTTCAGATTACGGTTAACAATATTCACACATGACTGATTAAATACACTAGTTTTTATTACGACCAAAACATTAATTTTAAAATACAGAACTGAAAATAATTTACAAGTGAAAACAATAAACCGTTTCAATGGACTTTTAAAATTAACCGCATGGAAATCTAACGTTTTCTAATTCTCATTACGAATGACCATTTACAAAATAAACGTTCACTAAATATTAAGTGCCTATTTCGGAAAATTTATTACTACTTTGATATACTGTCAAGGTCGGTTCATTAAATGATGGTCTACGGTTGGTTCACCTGAATTATACATATTGCAACCAGTAATTTATCATGATGAATTATTGATATGTTGATTTGTTTCTCCGATTAACAGACCATGTGTTACTAAAAAACTTATGCACACATTTCGGTAATAATTTGTTTATTAATTGGGTATTCAACATTTGACTACCAACCTAATTCATTAATCATTATTATCAAATATTCAAACCGGTTTTCAGTTACTTTTTCCCAAACCTTTCTTTTCATGTGATACATATAAGTATTCGTGGTAACATAACTAACAACTTCAATTGAAGGTTGACATTAAATCACTTGATCGGAAAGCAAAAATTTATCCCAATACACATTCACTAACAGTAGGATTGCACGATTGTGCATTTCAGTTGGTGTTTTTTTCTTGAAAATTCAAAATTTTTTTCAAGACTAAAATTACACAAAAATAATCATTCATTATCATTAAATTTCAAATTTCAAATGCAAATTATGACATCCAATCACAGCACTTGATGCTATTTCGATTTCAACTAATCACGTTGCAAAGATAAACAGTTTACGACCAATCACAAAATTATTAAAGGTGACAAAATTTTTGTTCATTTTCACTTCAGTACACACTTGAAAAACAAGTAAACCAATCAACAATACCTAAATTTTTCATTCACACCCTACAATTTTTTTAAAAATGGGTGGTAGGGAATCATATTTGCCGGGCACTTAATGTCAACCACCGATTAAGACTCGTAATAGCCGATTTGGTCTAGTGAAACCATAGGAATTGTCTGTATGGAAACCGCTAATTTGCAGATCATTATATTTCTCTCGAATATATACCTTCATAACAGAATCCATGACGATGATGTACCCACCGGTTCTCTCCTTAGCTTCGCATGAAGATAACCGAACCAACAGTCTTTTCTTTTCTGTTCTGATGTAGCATTTTCAAGAGACTTTATACAAACTTCATTCTAAAATAACCATGTAGAATGAGCGCTGCATAAACAATATCACATATTGGTGAATTCGAAGTCCCACGATCACAACACACGAACTTCATAATTACAAATTTGAAACTTATTGCTAATACCATCCTCAATGTTTAGGTAATTTACCGTAAATCGTCGTCTACTATGACCAAAACTGATCAGTTTAATAAGTAGATAACAAATTTGCCTTCCCTTAGTCTGTGAATTTAGTCAATTTAGTTAATACGGTCTTTATATTAGGGAAAAAATTTCCTAGTTCTAACTACTACTAACTTGTCAAAGTAGGAGGATATTCTTAGTAATAATTTGGGTTGGTGAATAACTGTCTTAAGTGCTCTAACATATCCTATTATCTAGTGAACCGAATGTACTCACGTTGGTTGGATTATATTTCCTTATTTAGACAATTGTATACTTAATGTCTTACTTTGATCACAATGTGAAACTGAAACATGTACAGAAAGTATGCATTGTGACTAACCTGTTAAACCATGAACTCCATTTTTCTACATTACCTTCTAACATTTTATCTCCTAGACCAGTCAGCTGTAAATGGGTCAAAAAATATCTAGTTTATTCATAAGATGTGTAATTCTTATTCATTCAATTTTGTGAAGTTCTAAGTAACTGTAATCATGTGAATTAACAAGATCCAAAATCTCAAAGCAATAAGTCGGAGAGTGTTTCTGAGATATTTCGACAGTACTTAATATTATGGTTAATTGTGAAAGGATTAGATGGACATTAACAGGTACTTGTCAACTAGTCAGTTAAGAACATTACTGAACCTGGAGGTGTCCATAGAGAAGTACTTATTATCAGGCATAGTAATATATCATGTAGGAAACTTTCCATTTTATTTCCTAACACCCAACTAATTAAAAAATGAAATGATGACCGGAAGATTAAAAAATTCACCAAAGTAAACTGTTAAGGTGTACGGTATAAATTTAACTACAGCTCCTTAGAGGGGACTGGGATAAAATTGTGTATTGATAGTACAGTCATATTCTCTATGCTTAATAAGATTTCATTATTTTATCTATTGTTATTTGATATTCCTTAGACTGGTGTATGAGATAAATCCAATAATCCTGCTTTTTATATGCGATATAAAAGCATGAATAAAAGTGACCGAATTAATGTTTTCACATACCACTTTGGTCATCACCGATATTAGGTTCAGTTGGATATTGAAGTAAGAATTCATCAATACTAGCACCTTCAAAATATGTTCGAACTTTTTCTTCCAATTCAGTTATGTTGCTGCGATATGCTTCAGCTAGTGACAATATTTCTTGGGTAGCATCAATAACTGGAACTTTTGATGATAAAATATGTATAGTAATTGATATTTCATTTGTGCCGTATGACTGAGAATCAGATAAGGATGTCAAGTGACGTACAATATCACGATTGCCAAATTCAATTCTGTTTTCACCGTTTAGAGCCAAAAGACGGAGCACTATTATTTGAAAAAAAAGTACCAATTCGTACGCTTCATTCTGAATTTGTAACAAAAAGACACTGATACAATACAGAATAAGCGCATTTGAAATTTTGACCAGTAGTAATTTATTCAGATTGACTGGTATAGTGAAGGAAAGTTCGGAGGTAAATAATTTGGTTGAAACGCTTGTAGTTTTATGCTGTAAAACGATACTGAAAACTAGAAACATGAGGACTTATTAGTCCCCTGTAGTAGTAAGTCTTACTATTAACAATGACGTAATGTGTTGGTAGTTTTAGTGACTGTATACTTTATTGTCTACATTTATTAATTATTTGTCTTATGAAAAAAAAACAAATTTTTTTAGGTAAGTTTGACCCATATTTGATAAGAAACAATAACAGTTATACTATCGATTAGTCCAAAGTATTCAATTTTGATTATTGACCATATAAGTAAACCAGACATAACTCGTAATTTTTGATTAGTGGTTGAATTGATTGTGGATTTACGGCTTGGGAATAATAAACGTCATTAAATGCAGCCTTACCCTCTTGCATCAATCGAATAATATCGGTCTTTGTACAGTGGTAAGTAACCAGGTTCCAAAGGTTATAAAAGACCGGTATATAAATGCTTTCGTCAGGTTTCAACGATATTACTACATTCATTGAACTGAAAGGCGACAGTTAGGAAATTCTCTCAATTTCCTAAAACCTTCGAATTTCTTTTTACTTTTTTCTACCCAATTCGGGCTTTATAATTCAACCATCTGGTTTATATCACATCAAACAACTGTAACAACCTCTAATAAACAAATCAATTAAATGGTTAAAGTGAAAGCTGTCCGACCAGTTCATTACCGTATTGTTGGTAGCACTCAAGCAAAACAAATCAGTGAAAAGTCCTGTATCATTTCACTTAACTGGAGTAAAGTTTTGAGGTGTCTTATCATTAATACCTTTCAGTTGACATACCTTACACCACTAAATACTAAAGAAGCGGCTAACTTGAACCTATTAATCTTAAATTGTTTTCAAAATCACCAATTGAGTTGAAGTGATTAACGAATTCGCTATCAGGTAAACCACATATATCTTAATATTTTCATGATTAATACCATCGACATAATTTCAAATATGCCTGTTCAGCCCACATTTATAACTTACTGATGACATAAACGGTTTATTATCTCTAATGTAATAGGGTTTATAACCACTATACACAAGTGTTTCAACGTTAGATATACGTGACGATCAACTAGCGTTAAGTATTACACAACTGTAGTTCACATTCATTAAAAAACTGAATTATATCATTAAAATCCCCGGACAGTCAAACTGAGTTCCCAGTATCGATATCACACAATTTCACGAGGTTCAAGTACGAATAAGAAAGCACCAATAAGTACACTCGCCACAGCAATCTTTTTAATCAATGCATATTACATTGTGTCTGTTTTAGAAACAAAATATTAGAATGAATTATGAAGAAGAAGAATGTAAGATCCAGTTAAAACACATTCATATCTAAGACTAGTTAGAAAAGAATTGGGTATAAATAGAAGCGATTATACAATCGGATTAATATATATTAATCCAAAAATGAATCAAATAAAGTACACTTGTTATACTAACAATAAAAACTTTAGTGAATAGAAATAAATCATAGTAGATTTGATATAGAGCTAGCAGTAAAATCCAGGATATAGATTTCATCCTATCTGGGACTCAGATTTACTGTATCCCAGTGTTGATGTCTTTACAGAGACTTGAACCCAGTACCTGTCGCTAGAATCCCACTCTACTTCATTTTACATTTGATTTTCATCGCAGAAAATCACTTTCCATACCCCGTACTTTTGATCAATATAAAATCACTAAAATATTTGGAAGAATGATAACGCAGCATTTATTTGAAAATGACAATTGTCTGCAAATAATCTACCTTTATTGAGAATAGACGCATCAAAGAAATGACTTTTTCTTCCTCCAATAACAGTATAATGGAACTGTTGCATGAACAATTCAATATACTCTGCTTTTAGATGAAGTTGACTGATATCAGTGTAGGTAAACGCTAAAAAAATGTTTATGGCCAACTGGAAAATAAATATTAACTGGAAACAATGCCACAAACTTTAATTGTTGGATCAGGGCAAGTATAGCGCGTTAAAATATTACGTAGACCATAATCTCTAAGTATTTTGTTAGACAACTATATTCATACGCCAATGCAGTATTTAGTGAACAAATAATTAGAGTTGTTAGTGGAAGTACAGCCTAATATAGCATATTTTAAGAATAAAGTGATTCAAACCTCAGACATTTTCATAGCACTGATGATATGTAAGATACGCCGTACTTCCGTCAAATATATATCAGATTTGACCAGTTTCTGTGTGAAGCTTATGCTGACGACCATATAATTAGTCAATGATTGTTGAAATCCGTCAGCTTGAGGACCCATTTTTCACAAGGAAGTGGATTGAATGTAGAATAACTTAATGGAATAGCCATTCTTCCTAATTCACGATAAACAGATATAAGGTTGTCAAAAACCGATAACCTTGACAATATATCTACCGCAACCTTTGTACGATACTCTGCTATATTTGCTGGTGCGTCTTCAGGGCTGAAACTATTCACAAATGATTTTAATGATTCATCGAATTCTGCCGTAGCATATTTTTTCGAATTAGCAAGTATAATCAACTGCTTTATGTGCTTTGATGTTGCTTCATATAATTCGCCGAAATCGTTCTTACTCATTTACGGTTATTTATCTGAAGTAAAATGGCAACAAAAAGTTCATTAAGGAAAGTGAACAGAACAAAATTAAGACAATATTTGATTCTACTCATTAGATTTATTCCAAAATAGCAAAAAAACGCTTGTTCTATTATTATCAAACAAGCATTTTAAACGGCAACCAAATTTGTTAACACTGTATTCCCCACAATGAACATTCACGACTCACTTCTCCTCATTCTATACGAATGGATGTTTAAGAATCATAACAAGGAAGACGTGCTGTTGTATTCACGTAGCACTGTCGCTTCCGACAAGAACAAAAATGCAAAAGCCAGTTATTGATACTGAAATCAGCTTAGTAGATAAGTCCAGTTCACTTGACAAATCTATGCTTACAAGAACCTTGGTATCTTAAATCAGTTAAATATAAATAGAGCTTCGATTACCAGCTGATGTAACATGGATCATACAGCCGTTTTGTTTTTGTGTGAATAGGAAAACTGATTCCTGTAATAAACTTACATGTTCCAGTTGGAGGGAGCAGTAGCGAAGGGATTTTATTAATACTCTTATTTTACTCCGACTAATTATTGTTGTACATTCTGTCTTATATGTGCTATTTAAAGTTACAGAGTAGTTGCTCATAGAAGTGTCCTTTATTATGAAACTTGATTGGCCCTAGAAAAACCAATCATGGCGTATAAACTTGCGTCTTCAGAGTCCACAACTTAACGCGAATCAGACAAGCAGATTCATAGGGAGCTGAAAGAAATATAACCAATTATTTGTGGTGCACCAGCAACCGAAATTTCAACGAAACGATAAACTGTAAGTCTTTCTGAAGGTCTCAAAAACATATTTCAGGTATGCTAACCCAAGAAGTCCACAATATTGATGTATGAAACGGTGTCTTTTACATTAGGTGCTAGAAATGAAACTCCACTAATCTACTGGATTCCTGTTTGGTAACGCAATAATCGGTTAAAATCGGCGTTTTTCTTCCTATTTTTAGGTGTTTTCATAACCCTTAAAGTTTACGAAGTACAGCCTAATTAGCAACAAATAAGTTTCCAGTTATATTATTAGAACTTTGGATTTGAAGACTTTTGACCGAATTCAACTGGTTTGTAACATATAGTCTCAAAGGTGCCAATTGCATCGACCTAGCTAGCAGAGACAACAATCTGGAAAGCGTATATTAGCCCTGGAAATGGGAACTAATTGGTTATTCCAGGCTTTGTTGGTTTACTGAAAGGGCGTTAACGAGTGCTAAAAACACCAGCCACTGAGCGATTGGTTGTAGAATTGTGAATAGCGTCATAGTAAATTAATAGCTTCAAAAAACTAGTAAAGTTGAAATATCTATGTGTCATGATTATATTATATTCCACCCTTCTACAAGGTAATGAAAAGAGATTGAGCAGAACTAAGTGCTGTAGTGAGAACAACAGTTTCAATCTAGCGTTTCGCCGATGGTGTGAAATAGACTTCATATTATGCCAACGTGTTGCTCCCTTACTCCATGATTTACGTCTCCGAACAAACGCCCTGTCAATCACATGAATCAACAGATCCTGCACTAGGACAATATAACCTTTTCTATCGAAGATCGACAACGGTTTCTGTGTTTAGTGAAAATTAGATTATTCAACACGTACCCCCTCCCGATAGGGAGGGAAGTTTCGAAACTTCACCAGCAGTACTCTTTGGTAAACAGAATGTCACTTTTTATCTTGAAATATTCTTCCTAAAAAATTCCTGTAAAATTCCGCTGTTTCCTTTCACCTAAAATAGATATTAAAGGATAATTCGTTTTGATGCAGAACCAAGGATATGGTCATTTTTATGTCGAACAAATCCGAATCTGTGAGGATACGGACGTCAATGTCGAGAATTTCATCGATACTTTTCCTAGATATTTCTCTCAAAATATAATTCACGGCCCACAACTATAGTGAAAATTATTAAAACTAAATAATGAAGGTACTTATAACTTATTAAAGAGTTTGTCACAGCTTGAATAACTGTGACATCTTTAAGGGTTTGGTAGTTTTCTCCAAAGTTTGGGAATTAACCCAAAGTGGAAATATTAGAAAGAACCCAAAATCTACTCAGAAATTTTGGGGATTTTCCCCAGATCTGTGCAAAACTATAGCAATTTGATTATAAATTTGCCGATGTATTTGCTTGTATATAAATATTTGCCTCTCAGCTTCAAAATCTGAGCTATCTGCTAATAAAATGTAGTTCCAGCTTCTCATTGCCTTTTGATTTCAAACAACATTGAGGTTTATATAATAATGGTTATAAGGGTGATTGATTAACGGAACAAAGCCACTACACTGGCCTCATATACAGCTATAGAATTAATTGGTTTTAGGTTTAATAGGAGTCGATTGCGCACCATAAAGAACGATAAACTACGAGAAACCAAGAAAAAGAACTGATACTTACTACGCTTTTTTAGATATCGAGGGACCGTGTCATTGTTGACTAGTTTAAACTGCTCAAGGTCTTTCTCACCAGGATTTCATCTTTCCCATATTCGTAGATATGAAATCGCAACACTTGAGGGTACAGTAGGCTAATTTACGCAAATACAACGAAATGCGAGTAAATAATTGAAAAGAAAAATGGAAAGTTATAGTACTTGTAGTGTGGTTTTCAGATGAACAAATGTTATTGGATGAAATTGAAGCTTTCGTTTAGCGAGCGTGAGTCTCAGTTTAAATTTCAGCTACCGAATGACAGAAGGCGAAGTGCTCTGTGCTAGCTCTGTTAATGGAATTTCTTAGTTAATCGAACTTTCTATAGAATGTGTCGGTAGACGGTGCTTTATTCACATGTTAAGGTAAGAGCTTCACCCATAAATGATCCTGTTAAAAGGTCGGCAGTCAGATGACAAATGGTTTGTTCTGGCATGCGAAAGTCTTTATTCTTTTCTCGACAGTGTTTTTCATTGTAAGGCAAGGAAAACGAGGGTATGTCAGATGCAAAATTATTATTATTACCACGTTTTTCTAGTAACGTCGTTTATGCTGAATAGTCATCAGTGCGGTCATAGTACTCGAGTACGACAGAGTGGTGATACACAGTAGTTATTATCATGAAGTGTGACTTCGACGCTAGTTGGTTGGTCATGCCATTTCCGTTTCACTCGAGCAAACCCCGAACCATTCAACACAGACAACTGACGTTGGTGGTCTACAGTCTCAAAACTTTCCACTAACCAAATTTTTCCAGCCAGATAACCTAAAGCTAACACGTACTGCTTTTTCTGACGTCCAAATACAAAATTCATTATCCACATAAGCTACCCTTGATAGGGATTAATTTGGTTAACATTCTGTTATACAGAACTTTGTCAAAGGCAATAGCGAAGTCCATGAAAGCTACATCAAAAAGCAGCTTTCGACAGTGAAGCGCGCGTTAACCTTCTCGAGCTAATAATAAGTTCATGAATAACCTGTCCTAAAATTGTGTTGCTTCTCGGAAAAGATCATATTTTCATCTCACTACCTAAACAACTCTTTGCGAACAGCCTTCCATAAAGCCCAAACAATCACGTTCGTCCAGCTTATAATATTATATCTGTCAGGTTTATATTCTCTACCTGTTTAAAAGGTAGAGCTTAGCATGATGTTCTTCTAGTAGCTTCATAATTTACTTTGAGTCATAGAAAGAGTAAAACATGTACTGGGAGATTTGAGATGAAGTCTGATAGTGTTTTTAGTAATGTAGGATGCATTTCATTTGTTTATATATATTTAACTATATCTACTTTATTCGGTGTACCAAGGACAGCCGGTTCTTTACTGGTCACAATATCTAGGGTGTGATAAAAAGTGGTCATAGTACTTAGGTGGAGGTCGTCTTTATGTTAAGTTCTCTAGTTCATTAACGCAGAATACGATCTACAACTACGCACTCGAACGTGTGAAAAACCACAGTCACAAATCAGAAGACAAGAAAACAAGAGGAATTGTTATCGGATACGAATCAAAAATGTACAGGAAAACATATGTATTTATAGTTATTAGCGTTGGTTGTATTATCATTATAATTCAGCCCATCCGCAAGGGAGTGTATTAAACGTACATCCAGTCGTAGCATGCCACGCTGATATTCTAGAAAGCTCCATTATGCTCTGATTGAATGAAAACCCTTCGACTCCTTTGGGGCCTCCGGAAGCCCTGTAATACTTCCCGAAGGCTGCCCCAGCACTTTAATGTACATTGTTTGCCTAAGAAGTCTGAAAATATATGAGCTTAACCGTCACCAACATCTAGAGTTGACGCCCATGTATTTGATACGAATAGAAATAACAGAAATATTCGTAAGGCAGTATAATATATATAATATAAACTCCGTCCGGAGTCCTTCCTGTGGCTACTGCCGGTCGCAAGCCCGGATAAAGGAGGAGGGTTGGGCATGGGGTTAGCGACCGCATCCCACAGAAAACTAACTCGCTAAAAAACGCTAAACATAAAAAATTATTCAAACCATCTAAACTCTGCCCTCGGAATCAGGAGGTCTTCATTTAGAAGGGTTATGACGCCTCATGATGAAAGCCGCGTTCCTCGGAAATCACGAAGCTCTGACAACCAGAGCAACCATTTATTTAGGTACATAGAATGCTCGTACAATATGGGAGACCGGGAGAGTCTTCCAAATTTCTGCAGAAATGAAGAGATACAACCCGGAGGTGCTTGAGATCAGTGAAACACATTGGACGCAAGTTGAACAACAACGACTAACTTCAAGAGAACTTCTGTTATATTCCATCCATGAAGAAGAAAATGCCCCACATACACAAGAAGTTGCATTAATGCTGTTCAAACAAGCACAAAATGCACCTATATGATGGGAATCTCATGGACCAAGGATCATCAAAGCCTCCTTCAAAAAAAGAAGGAGGGCATAACAATGAACATCATCCAATGCTATGCGCCTACCAACGATTACAGTGAAGACGCTAAAGATCAATTCTACAATAGGCTGCAGTCAATCGTCGAGAA